AATGTTCACATTATCAAAACTAGAGTTCTGTCAACTTTTAAGACATTTAATTATTTTGGAATAAAATGTGAATTTTTAGACAGAAAATGGCAAAAACTGGTATGAAAATGTATCATGTTACATGTGAAATTATAACAGTTGTTAAAGAACCTATTAAGTTAATTATGTTAAATATGTAATAATTTGGTGCTAAATGAATGTGTATTATAAATTATATCAGTGAAAATCAACCATATGTGTGCTTTAATTATTAATTTTAAAGAAGAGTGAGCTCTAAGAATGAACACATCAGATGTGAGTATTCTTTTAAAAAATCAAAAAGAATTATCTAGTTATTGTATATATGTTTTTAATGTTATGACTCTGCTCCTTTGGAATGAATGCTATTATTGCTTATCTGTATTTTTTTCCTTTTTTCTTTAGAAAGCACAACATCAGGAAGTGTGTTTGAAAGAAGTACAAAATAGTCTTGAGAAGTCAGAAAATCAAAATGAGAGTATTAAGAATTATTTACAGTTTCTTAAAACTTCGTATGTAACAATGTTTGAATAAATTGTCAGATTTATTTTCTCTAAGTAGTAGATTTTTATTATGAGTCTAAAATGTGATTGGGTAAAAAAATAAATATACTACCAGTTATATTTTATGATTTATGGGTGATAGTATTAGAGTTTTTATGTAAAGATTTTTGAAACATAATTTATCTAACTGAAACTTTAAAATAGGATAGTTGTTACTTTTCCTTTTTGCTGGATAATTCTTATTTATCTCTGGTTTAATTTCTTTTAAAAGTAAATTGGTTTTTAGAATTTTTCTCTCACACATACAAATAGAAGTCCGATTAATTCTTTGTGATGTTTGTAGCCACCATTCAAGTGAATTTGTAGTAAGTCTTTGCCAATTTGATTTTAAATAATGTATATAATTGATTATATTGTGGCGATATATAAATGTGATAAAGTAAAATATTCTTAATTTTAATTTTTAATAATGGTGTAATTACATACTTTCTAAAGCTACTAAGTTTTAAGTCACAGCTATTAAATACCAGCTGCTAATGACAGGTGAAAACGTGGTCATGCATTGTTTCTTTATAAAGAACAGACATTCAGGCTGTCTTCAATTTGTAGTCTCTTTTATTCATTTTATACTAATGATTATCTGATATTATTATTATTTTAGGCATTCTAAAGCCCCTTAGTTAAATAAAAGATTAAAGGAGAACAACTTATCCCACCTTTCCATGGCCAGCTCACATGGAGATGATCAAAATAAGCACTCTTAACATCAAGAAGCTTTAAAATAAGGTCTTTAGTATTGAGATGAAGTTGTCCAAGTTGACAAAGAACTTGTTTGCTATAATCTCCCACTGTGTGTGCCAAGGCAGAATACTCTAAAAGGGGATGGACGTGGTTTACAAAGGATCAAGTAATAATGACTCCTCTTGGACAATGACTTTAGAGCTGTTAATTCAAAGGAACACTCAGGTCTTAAAAGATCTCTAAAAAAGGCAGGTTTTGAACTACACAGTTCCAGCCTATGAACAGACATATCTCTTTAAGATGTTTTATGCTCTTTTCTGATCAGAGTTGAGGGCCTGGTCCCCACTGATCCCCTCCCTTTTAAGACTGTCGTATCATCCACAGATTCTTACTTTCTAGTGACCCAATTGCTTCATAGTATTTTTCTTAAAATAGCAAAATACAGAGTGTCAGAACTGGCCACATTTTTTACCCAACAATTGCTGACAAGATTAGTGTCACTTTTTAAAAAAATCGTAGTACTTATGGTACTAAAAACATACCTGACCCTTGCAGCCGTTTCTTTATCTCCTAACACAAAGGGAGCCTCAAGAAATGCCCACATGAAAGGAAAGCAAAGCTCTTGAGTTTTACTCACTAAACTGTAAGCTCCTCAAGGGCTGAAATGTATCTTAGTCATATAAATATCTAGGTACTCAGTTGATGTTTGTGGATAGATGGACAGATGTTGAAAGAAGCAGGTATTCATACTCCTGTTTTAGATACGAAAAATGTAAGCAAAAAGGGTTAACTACTATGGCTGTGGTATGAAACTTAAGTTTAAAGTTGGCATTTAAATTCAAGTCTACAATATTAAAGTTCTATGTACAGTGCTGTTTTCCCACTGTAGCAGCAGCCCAGCAGCAGCGCTGCTATGATTGATTAAGCACTTGCTATGTTGCAGAGGTAATACTTGTGATAAT